TCCAATTTTGGTCTTTCCTTTGGTCCCCTTTGGCTTAGCGGGTAAAGAACCCGTGCGACACTCATGGATGCTGCTAAAACTTCTTGGCGCTTCCTTGCGCCAATGGCCCCAACTTCCAGTTTTGGTCTTCATTGGTCCCCTTTTATTTACCAGCTAAATAACACGCGCGAGACTCATATTTGAGTGCTAAAACTTCATAAATATCACTCCTAGGACTCAAGGGAAGGGTTTTCAACCACTCTCTCCCCTCCTGGCGCCTCTTTAGGCCAATGGCCCCAAGTTCCCGTTTTGGTCTTTCCTTTGGTCCCCTTTGGCTTAGCAAGTAAAGAACCTGTGTGACGCTCGTGCAGGTTGCTAAAACTTCTTGATTGTCACTACTAAGACTCAAGGGAAGGGTTTCCAACCACTCTCTCCACCCTTGGCGCTTCCTTGCGCCAATGGCCCCAACTTCAAGTTTTCGTCTTTTTTGGTCTCCTTTTACTTACCGGCTAAATAAAATGTGCGAGACTCGTCTCTGGCTACTAAACATCTTGAATGTCACTCCTAGGACTCAAAGGAATGGTTTCAAACAACTCTCTCCCCTCCTGGCACTTCTTTCCCCCACCTTCCACTTTTCGTCTCTTTTGCTCCCCTTTGGCTTAGCGGGTAAATAATCCGTGCGACACTCCTGCAAGCTGCTAAAACTTCTTGATTGTCACTGCTAGGACTCAAGGGAAAGGTTTTCAACCACTCTCTCCCCTCCTGGCGCTTCTTTACGCCATGGGCGCCAAGTTCCAATTTTGGTCTTTCCTTTGGTCCCCTTTGGCTTAACGGGTAAAGAACCCGTGCGACAGTCGTGGATGCTGCTAAAACTTCTTGATTGTCACTACTAGGACTCAAGGGAAGGGTTTCAAACCACTCTCTCCACCCTTGGCGCTTCCTTGCGCCAATGGCCCCAACTTCAAGTTTTCGTCTCTTTTGGTCCCCTTTTATTTACCGGCTAGATAACACGCGCGAGGCTCATATTTGAGTGCCAAAACTTCATAAATGTCACTCCTAGGACTCAAGGGAAGGGTTTTCAACCACTCTCTCCCCTCCTGGCGCTTCTTTACGCCAATGGCGCCAAGTTCCAATTTGGGTCTTTCCTTTGGTGCCCTTTGGCTTAGCGGGTAAAGAACCCGTGCGACAGTCGTGGATGCTGCTAAAACTTCTTGATTGTCACTACTAGGACTCAAGGGAAGGGTTTCCAACCACTCTCTTCTCTCTTGGCGCTTCCATGTGTAAGTCGCCCTAACTTCTAGTTTTGGTCTCTCTGTCCCCTTTTACTTACCGGCAAAATAACACGCGCGAGACTCGTCTCTGGCTGCTAAAACTTCTTGAATGACACTCCTAGGACTCAAAGAAAGGGTTTCGAACATCTCTCTCCCCTCCTGGCGCTTCTTTCCCTCAACTTCCACTTTTGGTCCCCTTTGGCTTAACGGGTAAAGAACCCATACGACACTCGTGCAGGCCACTAAAACTTCTTGATTGTCACTACTAGGACTCAAGGGAAAGGTTTCCAACCACTCTCTCCCCTCTTGGTGTTTCCTTGCGCCAATAGCCCCAACTTTAAGTTTCGGTCTCTTTTGGTCCGCTTTTACTTACTGGCAAAATAAAACGTGCGAGACTCGTCTCTGGCTGCTAAAACTTCTTGAATAACACTCCTTGGCCTCAAAGGAAGGGTTTTCAACAACTCTTTCCCCTCCTGGCACTTCTTTCCCCAACTTCCAATTTTGATCTCTTTTGCTCCCCTTTGGCTTAGCGGGTAAAGAACCCGTGCGACACTCGTGCAGGGCGCTAAAACTTCTTAATTGTAACTGCTAGGACTCAAGGGAAGGGTTTCAAACCACTCTCTCCACCCTTGGCGCTTCCTTGCGCCAATGGCCCCAACTTCAAGTTTTCGTCTCTTTTGGTCTCCTTTTATTTACCGGCTAAATAAAATGTGCGAGACTCGTCTCTGGCTACTAAAACATCTTGAATGTCACTCCTAGGACTTAAAGGAAGGGTTTCCAACAACTCTGTCCCCTCCTGGCACTTCTTTCCCCCACCTTCCACTTTTGGTCTCTTTTGCTCCCCTTTGGCTTAGCGGGTAAAGAATTCGTGCAACACTCCTGCAAGCTGCTAAAACTTCTTGATTGTCACTACTAGGACTCAAGGGAAGGGTTTCCAACCACTCTCTCCCCCTTGGCACTTCTTTCCCCCACCTTCCACTTTTGGTCACTTTTGCTCCTCTTTGGCTTAGCGGGTAAAGAATCCGTGCGACGCTTTTGCAAGCTGCTAAAACTTCTTGATTGTCACTGCTAGGACTCAAGGGAAAGGTTTTCAACCACTCTCTCCCCTCCTGGCACTTCTTTATGCCAAGTTCCAATTTTGGTCTTTCCTTTGGTCCCCTTTGGCTTAACGGGTAAAGAACCCGTGCGACACTCGTGGATGCTGCTAAAACTTCTTGATTGTCACTACTAGGACTCAAGGGAAATGTTTCCAACCACTCTCTCCCCTCTTGGTGTTTCCTTGCGCCAATAGCCCCAACTTTAAGTTTCGGTCTCTTTTGCTCCGCTTTTACTTACTGGCAAAATAAAACGTGCGAGACTCGTCTCTCGCTGCTAAAACTTCTTGAATAACACTCCTTGGCTTCAAAGGAAGGGTTTTCAACAACTCTTTCCCCTCCTGGCGCTTCTTTCCCCAACATCCAATTTTGATCTCTTTTGCTCCCCTTTGGCTTAGCGGGTAAAGAACCCGTGCGACACTCGTGCAAGGCGCTAAAACTTCTTAATTGTAACTGCTAGGACTCAAGGGAAGGGTTTCAAACCACTCTCTCCACCCTTGGCGCTTCCTTGCGCCAATGGCCCCAACTTCAAGTTTTCGTCTCTTTTGGTCTCCTTTTACTTACCGGCTAAATAAAATGTGCGAGACTCGTCTCTGGATACTAAAACATCTTGAATGTCACTCCTAGGACTTAAAGGAAGGGTTTCCAACAACTCTGTCCCCTCCTGGCACTTCTTTCCCCCACCTTCCACTTTTGGTCTCTTTTGCTCCCCTTTGGCTTAGCGGGTAAAGAATTCGTGTAACACTCCTGCAAGCTGCTAAAACTTCTTGATTGTTACTACTAGGACTCAAGGGAAGGGTTTCCAACCACTCTCTCCCCTCTTGGCACTTCTTTCCCCCACCTTCCACTTTTGGTCTCTTTTGCTCCCCTTTGGCTTAGCGGGTAAAGAACCCGTGCGACCCTCGTGGATGCTGCTAAAACTTCTTGATTGTCACTACTAGGACTCAAGGGAAGGGTTTCCAACCACTCTCTTCTCACTTGGTGATGAGGACATGACCATGAGCAAGGGCAAGGATCCTCTTGAAGGACTTGGAGGACCTATGACAAGGGCTAGAGCAAGGAGAGCAAAAGAAGCTCTTCAACAAGTGTTGTCCATATTAATTGAATACAAGCCCAAGTTTCAAGGAGAAAAGACCAAGGTTGTGAATTGCTTCATGGCCCAAATGGAGGAGAACTAAGGCGCCACTTTGCTTCAGTTTTTAAGTTTTTAGTTTGTTATAAATAATGGCCCAATCCTTTGTAAAGTTGGCTGACCAAATTATGTTTTGTGGTTAATCAACTAATGGGCTTTGGTTTGGTTTTATTTCAAGTTGTAATAAGGGCCCAATTGGCAACTTAGGCATCAGCCTTTGGAAGACCAAGAGGCGCATAGCTAGTGGCTGTTGGGTGACTTTTTGGTTGCCACAATTTCAGTTACAATCAGCCTTTGGAAGACCAAGAGGCGCATAGTGGCTGTTGGGTGACTTTTTGGTTGCCACAATTTCAGTTACAATCAGCCATCAAGTAGTTTCATTTTCCGTTACGGAACCTTTGTAATTCTGATGGTAAAGCTTCTATATAAGCTGAACCATTCTTATCAATAAGACAAGTTAAGTTTGATTCAGAAATATTAGAGTTTATCTCTTTTATCTTAGTGAGAGTGATTCTCCTAAGTTCTTGAGTGATTCAAGAACACCTTGGCTGTATCAAAGGGCTTTCACATCCCTTTGTGTGTTGCCTTCCTTGGAAAGAGTGATTCTTTCCTTCCCCCATTCAATTCTTCACCAAAGTTCCAAAAAAAACTCAAATCTGCCCAGAATTATTTCGTTATCATAACTCTCGTTCTACTCAGCCAAATTGAGTGATTCTTGAGCCTAAATTGCATTTCAGAACGAGAACTTTCTCCTCGTTTTGGAATCACCTCAATTGGAGTTCTATAACTCGAGATACCGTCATTTCTAAAATTCTGTCCAGCCACCACCAAACCAGCGTTTTTGCTTCCTTTTTCACTCATTTTTAACACCATGGACCAACACCTAATTTGCCCAGAAATTCATCACTAAATTTTCAAATTTTTCTACAAGGTTCTAACCCTAAAGATCCTATGTCAGCCCTTGTGCAAATGGGGTTCATATCATTTGGTTATCAGAGCTCCGGTTTAAGGGTTTGAACGTGAAATTGGTAACATCCTTCCTTCATTCTCTTTTTTCCAATTGATTACCTTATTGTTCATATTATTTGTGATTGTACTGAATCATTGCAAAAGTTAGGCCCTTGTGAAAATTCAAAAAAAAAAAATCGTATAAAAAAAAAAAGAAGAAATTTTTGGGCTGAATGATTCATGCTTTTCAACAATTTGTTATAAGGTAATATATTGGTGTTCTTAAAGGATTGTTGCTAATTCTCTTGTTTACCAATTTTCCTTTACCCCTTTGTTTTTGTGATTTGTTAGCCTTTTCTTTGTCTACCTAGCCTTACCTTGCACATATTGGTGGATTGTTCTTTGTTGTGGCCATAATATCTTGAATTGCCTAAGAACCCAAGGAGAATTTTAGTGGTAAAAGGCAAGAGTGTTTTCATTAGAGAAAAAGCCATAATTGTGTGATACACTTGAGTGTGGTGAGGTTTCAAATTCTACTTTCTATTTGCTTGTTACGTTTGAATTTGTTTGTTTGTGATGGCTGAAGGAAATCCTAATCAAGGAGGAGGACTTTCTCCTTTCCAAATGCAAGCCTTGACACAACATTTGGAGAGATTGATGAGGCAACAAAATGAGGAGCTCCATGAAAGATTGGACCAATTGGAGAATAGAGGTCATGATGAAGAAGAAAAGAGGAGAAGAGGTAATGACGGTGCTCCTAGACAAAACCGAATTGATGGAGTCAAAATTTCTATTCCTCCATTCAAAGGAAGAAGTGACCCGGAAGCTTATTTGGAGTGGGAGATCAAAATAGAGCATATTTTCACTTGTAATACCTATGAAGAGGCCCAAAAGGTAAAGCTTGCAGCTATGGAGTTTTCCGATTATGCTCTTGTGTGGTGGAACAAATTGCAAAAAGAGAGAGCTAGGAATGAGGAGCCATTGGTGGATACATGGGTTGAAATGAAAAGAATCATGAGGAAGAGATATGTGCCGGCAAGCTATTCTAGGGACTTAAAATTCAAACTTCAAAAGTTGTCCCAAGGTAGCAAAGGCGTTGAGGAGTACTACAAGGAAATGGAGGTGCTCATGATTCAAGCCAAGATAGAAGAGGATGAGGAGGTAACTATGGCTAGATTTCTTAGTGGTTTGAATAATGATATTCGTGATATTGTTGAACTGCAGGAATTTGTTGAAATGGAGGACTTGCTTCACAAAGTAATCCAAGTGGAGCAACAATTGAAAAGGAAAGGTGTGGCCAAAAGGAGCTCCACTAATTTTGGTTTTTCTAGTTGGAAGGATAAGGGAAAAGGGGCTGCCACTTCTAGTGCAGCGCCTACACCAACAAAAACTCCTCTAAAAACTCAAGAGCAACCCTCTAAAAGGAGTCGGGATGTGAAGTGCTTTAAGTGCCAAGGCTTAGGACACTATGCATATGAGTGCCCTAACAAAAAAACCATGATTCTTAGAGATGGAGAGTATATAAGTGAGTCCGAAATTGAAGAGGGAGAGGAGAATGAGGACGTGGAGGAGGAGGTGGAGAAAACACCAGAGGGAGACTTGTTGATGATAAGGCGGTTACTTGGTAGCCAATTGAAGCCTTTGGAGGAGAGCCAAAGAGAAAACATCTTCCATACTAGATGTTTGATCAATGGTAAACTTTGCATGGTGATCATTGATGGAGGGAGTTGCACCAATGTGGCGAGTGCAAGACTTGTGTCTAAATTGAATTTAGTTACAAAGCCACATCCTAGGACATATAGGCTTCAATGGCTTAGTGAGGATGGAGAGGTGCAAGTAAGGAAGCAAGTAGAGTTGGATATTTCCATTGGAAGATACAATGATAAGGTGCTTTGTGATGTTGTTCCTATGGAGGCCAGCCACTTACTCTTGGGGAGACCATGGCAATTTGATAAAAGAGCCAATCATGATGGTTTCACCAACAAAATCTCATTCATGCACCAAGACAAGAAGATAGTGCTCAAACCTTTAAGTCCGCAAGAGGTGTGTGAGGATCAAAGAAAAATGAGAGAAAAGATTGTCCAAGAAAACAAAGAAAAAGAAAGCCAAACACTTGAGAGCTCAAAAAGTGAGGACAAAAAGAGAGAAACACATGAGAGGAAAAAGAAGAGTGAAACACTTGAGGTGAAGGAGAGCTTTTTAGCTACAAAAAGTGAGGTCAAGAGGTTGTTTCTATCTAAACAGCCCCTATTTTTGTTAATTTGCAAAAACTATGTTTTGACCACTAACACTTTTGATAACCTTGATTTGCCTTCTAGAGTGAAGTCTCTTTTGCAGGAATTTGGAGATGTGTTTCCAACAAGTGTACCAAGTGGGTTGCCACCATTAAGAGGTATTGAGCATCAAATTGATCTCATTCCAGGAGCTTCTTTGCCTAATAGGCCAGCCTATAGAAGCAACCCTCAAGAGACCAAGGAGATCCAAAGACAAGTGGATGAACTCATTGGTAAGGGATGGGTAAGAGATAGCATGAGTCCTTGTGCTGTCCCGGTAATTTTGGTTCCTAAAAAGGATGGGACATGGCGCATGTGTTCTGATTGTAGAGCCCTTAATAACATCACCATTAAATATAGGCATCCTATACCTAGGCTTGATGATTTGCTTGATGAATTGCATGGTGCATGTTACTTCTCTAAAATTGATTTAAAAAGTGGATACAATCAAATTAGGGTTAGAGAAGGGGATGAATGGAAAACTGCTTTCAAAACAAAATATGGTTTGTATGAATGGTTGGTTATGCCTTTTGGCTTAACTAATGCTCCTAGCACTTTCATGAGATTAATGAACCATGTTTTGAGAAAATTCATAGGAAAATTTGTTGTGGTGTACTTTGATGATATTCTTATCTATAGCACTTCACTTGAATTGCATGTTGATCATTTAAAATCTGTCTTGTGTGTGCTTAGAGAAGAACAATTGTATGCCAATCTTGAAAAATGCATCTTTTGTACTAACCATGTTGTGTTTCTTGGTTTTGTTGTAAGTTCAAAAGGAGTACAAGTGGATGAGGAAAAGGTTAGGGCTATTCAAGAATGGCCTACACCTAAGTCCGTGACCGAAGTGAGAAGTTTCCATGGTTTAGCAAGTTTCTATAGGAGATTTGTGAAGGATTTTAGCACATTGGCAGTACCTCTAAATGAAGTGCTTAAGAAAAATGTTGGTTTCAAATGGGGAGAGAAACAAGAAGAAGCTTTCAAAGCTCTTAAGCAAAAGCTAACTAATGCCCCCATACTTGCTTTGCCAAACTTTCAAAAATCTTTTGAAATTGAGTGTGATGCTTCAAATGTTGGGATTGGGGCTGTGTTGTTGCAAGAAGGCCATCCAATTGCTTATTTTAGTGAAAAGCTAAGTGGTCCTACCCTTAACTATTCAACTTATGATAAAGAGTTGTATGCCTTAGTGAGAGCTTTGAAAACATGGCAACACTACTTTTATCCCAAGGAATTTGTTATTCATAGTGACCATGAGTCCCTCAACTTTCACTTTTGGTCTCTTTTGCTCCCCTTTGGCTTAGTGGGTAAAGAACCCGTGCGACACTCGTCCAGGCCACTAAAACTTCTTGATTGTCACTACTAGGACTCAAGGGAAGGGTTTCAAACCACTCTCTCCACCCTTGGCGCTTCCTTGCGCCAATGGCCCCAACTTCAAGTTTTCGTCTCTTTTGGTCTCCTTTTACTTACCGGCTAAATAAAATGTGCGACACTCGTCTTTGGCTACTAAAACATCTTGAATGTCACTCCTAGGACTCAAAGGAAGGGTTTCCAACAACTCTGTCCCCTCCTGGCACTTCTTTCCCCCACCTTCCACTTTTGGTCTCTTTTGCTCCCCTTTGGCTTAGCGGGTAAAGAATTCGTGCAACACTCCTGCAAGCTGCTAAAACTTCTTGATTGTTACTACTAGGACTCAAGGGAAGGGTTTCCAACCACTCTCTCCCCTCTTGGCACTTCTTTCCCCCACCTTCCACTTTTGGTCACTTTTGCTCCCCTTTGGCTTAGCGGGTAAAGAATCAGTGCGACGCTTTTGCAAGCTGCTAAAACTTCTTGATTGTCACTGCTAGGACTCAAGGGAAAGGTTTTCAACCACTCTCTCCCCTCCTGGCGCTTCTTTACGCCAAGGGCGCCAAGTTCCAATTTTGGTCTTTCCTTTGGTCCCCTTTGGCTTAGCGGGTAAAGAACCCGTGCGACACTCGTGGATGCTGCTAAAACTTCTTGATTGTCACTACTAGGACTCAAGGGATGGGTTTCCAACAACTCTCTCCCCTCCTGGCACTTTTTTCCCCCACCTTCCACTTTTGGTCTCTTTTGCTCCCCTTTGGCTTAGCGGGTAAAGAATCCGTGCGACACTCCTGCAAGCTGCTAAAACTTCTTGATTGTTACTACTAGGACTCAAGGGAAGGGTTTCCAACCACTCTCTCCCCTCTTGGCGCTTCCTTGCGCCAATGGCCCCAACTTCCAGTTTTGGTCTTCATTGGTCCCTTTTATTTACCGGCTAAATAACACGCGCGAGGCTCATATTTGAGTGCTAAAACTTCATAAATGTCACTCCTAGGACTCAAGGGAAGGGTTTTCAACCACTCTCTCCCCTCCTGGCGCTTCTTTATGCCAATGGCCCCAAGTTCCCGTTTTGGTCTTTCCTTTGGTCCCCTTTGGCTTAGCAAGTAAAGAACCTGTGTGACGCTCGTGAAGGCTGCTAAAACTTCTTGATTGTCAATACTAGGACTCAAGGGAAGGGTTTCCAACCACTCTCTCCCCCCTTGGCGCTTCCTTGCGCCAATGGCCCCAACTTCCAGTTTTGGTCTTCATTGGTCCCCTTTTATTTACCGGCTAAATAACACGCACGAGGCTCATATTTGAGTGCTAAAACTTCATAAATGTCACTTCTAGGACTCAAGGGAAGGGTTTTCAACCACTCTTTCCCCTCCTGGCGCTTCTTTAGGCCAATGGCCCTAAGTTCCCGTTTTGGTCTTTCCTTTGGTCCCCTTTGGCTTAGCAAGTAAAGAACCTGTGTGACGCTCGTGAAGGCTGCTAAAACTTCTTGATTGTCAATACTAGGACTCAAGGGAAGGGTTTCCAACCACTCTCTCCCCCCTTGGCGCTTCCTTGCGCCAATGGCCCCAACTTCAAGTTTTCGTCTTTTTTGGTCTCCTTTTACTTACAGGCTAAATAAAGTGTGCGAGACTCGTCTCTGGCTACTAAAACATCTTGAATGTCACTCCTAGGACTCAAAGGAAGGGTTTCCAGCAACTCTCTCCCCTCCTGGCACTTCTTTCCCCCACCCTCCACTTTTGGTCTCTTTTGCTCCCCTTTTGCTTAGCAGTAAAGAATCCGTGCGACACTCCTGCAAGCTGCTAAAACTTCTTGATTGTCACTGCTAGGACTCAAGGGGAAGGTTTTCAACCACTCTCTCCCCTCCTGGCGCTTCTTTACGCCAATGGCGCCAAGTTCCAATTTTGGTCTTTCCTTTGGTCCCCTTTGGCTTAGCGGGTAAAGAACCCGTGCGACACTCGTGGATGCTACTAAAACTTCTTGATTGTCACCACAAGGACTCAAGGGAAGGGTTTCCAACCACTCTCTCCTCTCTTGGAGCTTCCATGTGCAAGTCGCCCTAACTTCTATTTTTGGTCTCTCTGTCCCCTTTTACTTACCGGCAAAATAACACGCGCGAGACTCGTCTTTGGCTACTAAAACTTCTTGAATGACACTCCTAGTACTCAAAGGAAGGGTTTCGAACATCTCTCTCCCCTCTTGGCGCTTCTTTCCCTCAACTTCCACTTTTGGTCCCCTTTGGCTTAGCGGGTAAAGAACCCATACGACACTCGTGCAGGCCACTAAAACTTCTTGATTGTCACTACTAGGACTCAAGGGAAAGGTTTCCAACCACTCTCTCCCCTCTTGGTGTTTCCTTGCGCCAATGGCCCCAACTTCCACTTTTGGTCTCTTTTGGTCCCCTTTGGCTTAGCGGGTAAAGAACCCGTGTGACGCTCGTGCGGGCTGCTAAAACTTCTTGATTGTCACTACTAGGACTCAAGGGAAGGGTTTCCAACCAATCTCTCCCCCCTTGGCGCTTCCTTGCGCCAATGGCCCCAACTTCAAGTTTTCGTCTCTTTTGGTCCCCTTTGACTTACCGGCAAAATAAAACGCGCAAGACTCGTCTCTGGCTGTTAAAACTTCTTGGATGTCACTCCTAGAACTCAAAGGAAGGGTTTCCAACAACTCTCTCCCCTCCTGGCGCTTCTTTCGCCCAACTTCCACTTTTGGTCTCTTTTGATCCCCTTTGACTTAGCGGGTAAAGAGCCCGTGCGACACTCGTGCTGGCTGCTAAAACTTCTTAATTGTCACTGCTAGGACTCAAGGGAAGGGTTTCAAACCACTCTCTCCACCCTTGGCGCTTCCTTGCGCCAATGGCCCCAACTTCAATTTTTCATCTCTTTTGGTCCCCTTTGACTTACTGGCAAAATAAAACACGCAAGACTCGTCTCTGGCTGCTAAAACTTCTTGGATGTCACTCCTAGAACTCAAAGGAAGGGTTTCCAACAACTCTCTCCCCTCCTGGCGCTTCTTTACGCCAATGGCCCCAAGTTCCCGTTTTGGTCTTTCCTTTGGTCCTCTTTGGCTTAGCAAGTAAAGAACCTGTGTGACGCTCGTGCAGGCTGCTAAAACTTCTTGATTGTCACAACTAGGATTCAAGGGAAGGGTTTCCAACCACTCTCTCCACCCTTGGCGCTTCCTTGCGCCAATGGCCCCAACTTCCAGTTTTGGTCTTCATTGGTCCCCTTTTATTTACTGGCTAAATAACACGCGCGAGACTCATATTTGAGTGCTAAAACTTCATAAATGTCACTCCTAGGACTCAGGGGAAGGGTTTTCAACCACTCTCTCCCCTCCTGGCGCTTCTTTACGCCAATGGCCCCAAGTTCCCGTTTTGGTCTTTCCTTTGGTCCCCTTTGGCTTAGCAAGTAAAGAACCTGTGTGACGCTCGTGCAGGCTGCTAAAACTTCTTGATTGTCACAACTAGGACTCAAGGGAAGGGTTTCAAACCACTCTCTCCACCCTTGGCGCTTCCTTGCGCCAATGGCCCCAACTTCAATTTTTCGTCTCTTTTGGTCCCCTTTGACTTACCGGCAAAATAAAACGCGGAAGACTCGTCTCTTGCTGCTAAAACTTCTTGGATGTCACTCCTAGAACTCAAAGGAAGGGTTTCCAACAACTCTCTCCCCTCCTGGCGCTTCTTTCCCCCAACTTCCACTTACGGTCTCTTTTGCTCCCCTTTGGCTTAGCGGGTAAAGAGCCCGTGCGACACTCGTGCTGGCTGCTAAAACTTCTTAAATTTCACTGCTAGGACTCAAGGGAAGGGTTTCCAACCACTCTCTCCACCCTTGGCGCTTCCTTGCGCCAATGGCCCCAACTTCCAGTTTTGGTCTTCATTGGTCCCCTTTTATTTACCGGCTAAATAACACGCGCGAGGCTCATATTTGAGTGCTAAAACTTCATAAATGTCACTCCTAGGACTCAAGGGAAGGGTTTTCAACAACTCTCTCCCCTCCTGGCGCTTCTTTCGCCCAACTTCCACTTTTGGTCTCTTTTGCTCTCCTTTGGCTTAGCGGGTAAAGAGCCCGTGCGACACTCGTGCTGGCTGCTAAAACTTCTTAATTGTCACTGCTACGACTCAAGGGAATGGTTTCAAACCACTCTCTCCACCCTTGGCGCTTCCTTGCGCCAATGGCCCCAACTTCAAGTTTTCGTCTCTTTTGGTCTCCTTTTACTTACAGCCTAAATAAAATGTGCGACACTCGTCTCTGGCTACTAAAACATCTTGAATGTCACTCCTAGGACTCAAAGGAAGGGTTTCCAACAACTCTCTCCCCTCCTGGCACTTCTTTCCCCACCTTCCACTTTTGGTCTCTTTTGCTCCCCTTTGGCTTAGCGGGTAAAGAATCCGTGCGACACTCCTGCAAGCTTCTAAAACTTCTTGATTGTTAGTACTAGGACTCAAGGGAAGGGTTTCCAACCACTCTCTTCCCTCTTGGCACTTCTTTCCCCCACCTTCCACTTTTGGTCTCTTTTGCTCCCCTTTGGCTTAGCGGGTAAAGAATCCGTGCGACACTCCTGCAAGCTGCTAAAACTTCTTGATTGTCACTACTAGGACTCAAGGGAAAGGTTTTCAACCACTCTCTCCCCTCCTGGCGCTTCTTTACGCCAAGGGCGCCAAGTTCCAATTTTGGTCTTTCCTTTGGTCCCCTTTGGCTTAGCGGGTAAAGAACCCGTGCGACACTCGTGGATGCTGCTAAAACTTCTTGATTGTCACTACTAGGACTCAAGGGAAGGGTTTCCAACCACTCTCTCCACCCATGGCGCTTCCTTGCGCTAATGGCCCCAACTTCCAGTTTTGGTCTTCATTGGTCCCCTTTTATTTACCGGCTAAATAACACGCACGAGGCTCATATTTGAGTGCTAAAACTTCATAAATGTCACTTCTAGGACTCAAGGGAAGGGTTTTCAACCACTCTTTCCCCTCCTGGCGCTTCTTTAGGCCAATGGCCCTAAGTTCCCGTTTTGGTCTTTCCTTTGGTCCCCTTTGGCTTAGCAAGTAAAGAACCTGTGTGACGCTCGTGAAGGCTGCTAAAACTTCTTGATTGTCAATACTAGGACTCAAGGGAAGGGTTTCCAACCACTCTCTCCACCCATGGCGCTTCCTTGCGCTAATGGCCCCAACTTCCAGTTTTGGTCTTCATTGGTCCCCTTTTATTTACCGGCTAAATAAAATGTGCGAGACTCGTCTCTGGCTACTAAAACATCTTGAATGTCACTCCTAGGACTCAAAGGAAGGGTTTCCAACCACTCTCTTCTCTCTTGGCGCTTCCATGTGCAAGTCGCCCTAACTTCTAGTTTTGGTCTCTCTGTCCCCTTTTACTTACCGGAAAAATAACACGCGCGAGACTCGTCTCTGGCTGCTAAAACTTCTTGAATGACACTCCTAGGACTCAAAGGAAGGGTTTCGAACATCTCTCTCCCCTCCTGGCGCTTCTTTCCCTCAACTTCCACTTTTGGTCCCCTTTGGCTTAACGGGTAAAGAACCCATACGACACTCGTGCAGGCAAGTAAAACTTCTTGATTGTCACTACTAGGACTCAAGGGAAGGGTTTCCAACCTCTCTCTCCCCTCTTGGCGCTTCCTTGCGCCAATGGCCCCAACTTCCAGTTTTGGTCTTCATTGGTCCCCTTTTATTTACCGGCTAAATAACACGCGCGAGGCTCATATTTGAGTGCCAAAACTTCATAAATGTCACTCCTAGGACTCAAGGGAAGGGTTTTCAACCACTCTCTCCCCTCCTGGCGCTTCTTTATGCCAATGGCCCCAAGTTCCCGTTTTGGTCTTTCCTTTGGTCCCCTTTGGCTTAGCAAGTAAAGAACCTGTGTGACGCTTGTGCAGGCTGCTAAAACTTCTTGATTGTCACAACTAGGGCTCAAGGGAAGGGTTTCCAACCACTCTCTCCACCCTTGGCGCTTCCTTGCGCCAATGGCCCCAACTTCCAGTTTTGGTCTTCATTGGTCCCCTTTTATTTACCGGCTAAATAACACGCGCGAGGCTCATATTTGAGTGCTAAAACATCATAAATGTCACTCCTAGGACTCAAGGGAAGGGTTTCCAATCACTCTCTCCCCTCTTCGCGCTTCTTTCGACAACGGCCCCAACTTCCCGTTTTGGTCTTTCCTTTGGTCCCCTTTGGCTTAGCGGGTAAAGAACCCGTGTGACACTCGTGCAGGCTGCTAAAACTTCTTGATTGTCACTACTAGGACTCAAGGGAAGGGTTTCCAACCACTCTCTCCCCTATTGGCGCTTTAGAGTTTTGGTCTCTTTTGGTCCCCTTTTACTTACCGGCTAAATAACATGCGCGAGACTCGTCTCTGGCTGCTAAAATATCTTGAATGTCACTCCTATGACTCAAAGGAAGGGTTTCCAATAACTCTCTCCCCTCGTTGCACTTCTTTGCGCAAACAGCCCTAAGTTCCCGTTCTGGTCTTTCCTTTGGTCCCCTTTGGCTTAGCAGGTAAAGAACCCGTGCGTCACTCGTGCAGGCTGCTAAAACTTCTTAATTGTCACTACTAGGACTCAAGCGAAGGATTTCCAACCACTCTCTCCCCTCTTGGCGCTTCCTTCCCCTAACTT